TGATGTAATTTAAAAATAATACTAAAATGAAACTGTACACAAAGGACTATGGTATCAGCCTATGGTAGTGCACCCATTAGGGAGGCAGAAGATTAACCGCAGAAGAGTAACTCTGCCAGTATCCTGCTATCTCCACTTTTCCTCAAGCTACCAGCCACCTGCCTGTAAATGCTCTGCCAGTGTCCCACCAGCTCCACATTTCCTTTCGCTGGGCAGCCCCTTCCCCACCCATCTGAAAATGTTCTTTTCCCCTCGCTCCCACTCCTTCTATTCTATCCCTGCCACTGCTACCGCTGGTCCTGCAGAAACTGATAAGATTAATCAGATCCACAAGGCAACTGTTTTCAATTCCAGCCTTTGCTCCCTGCCACAGCTTGTGGTGACAGGGTGGATCACGCCTCTAGGTCTCTCTTGTTATTATGTTTAAAACTCCTGCGGTTCAAAAAATGTGGCGTCTCCATGCAACACATGGCCATCATCATGTTGACTGAGGTCAGGTGACTCACCACCATCTTAACTAAGGGCCAGGTCAGGTAACCAAGTCCTACCATCTTTATTGAGGTATACCCTGCCTTGTCCCCTGGTTTGCTTATGTTTTTGTCTCTAAATTCCTCTTCTGACTCTGTTACATGTGTGTTTTATGCAGTGGCATGCCTTTGGTAGAGCCCACCAAAAGCACCCACTTCACCCAACTCCTGTTTAATGTATGTGTGTGTATATGTATGTGTATACATGTGACTTGAGTTAACTCCAATGTGTGTGTCTATGTGTGTGAGTGTGCATACATGTAACTTAAATGCACCTATGTTTACTGTTAAATGATATAATTGTCTGTCCATTATATCTCATTCTGGACTAATAAAGCAATAAATTTCATGTTTTAAATTGGTATGTACTTTTAAGTCTCTTTAAACAAAAACACAGTATATTTTATCCAACCCTGCTTTAAAATATATTAAGCTGATTTTTACTATTGTCAGTTCCACTGTTAAACTTCTATTGCAAGTAGTGTTTTCTTCTTTCTGTCTTTTACAAGTGTAAATCTTACCTGTTAAGTTGAGAACCAGTAAAGTCAGTAAACCCAGCTCTCCAGGCAGATTCTATACTGGAGTTATAACTCATTTATACCCGGTAAACAGCCCTCAACTGCTCAGAGGTCTGGGGAATATGGCATTTAAATATTTAACTAGTAAAAGACTTTTCATAACAAAAAGAGACAGGTTGGCTCCTAGCAGCAGCGCTCTATTTCTTCCAAAGAAGACAGAAGACAAATGAACACAGAACAATGTCCATCCGCAATTCACTTCAACTGTCAAGCACTGACCACTGGGTAAAAACTGCCTTTCATCTAAACTGAAGATCTCCAGATGTGGACAGAACCACCAGAATCGACAGTCTAGCTACTCAGGTCACGGTAGTCTTGTCTTCCTACAGATTTCTTAGCCCACAGGATCTTCTGGAGCCTGGCAGGCCCTGCACTAAACAGCAAAAGGCAAATATGACCCTCAGCGACCATGGAGGACCCTGAGGAGTAGCTCTAGGTGCCAACCAAGTAAGTTCTCTGTCGTTTTTAAATCAATAACTCAAGTAAGATTTTATTCTTCTCAATGATCTCTGATGCAGTTTGACAGCTGAAAGGTTTGGTCAGTTTAAAAGGACAATGTCACCAAACAAATTTCAGTAAAACACAAACACAAGTTATTAAGATGTGTACCTGCAAGTTATAAAGGTGTGAGGACAAATGCAAGTTATCAAATCTCTCTCTCAGGCTGCCTTCCAAAGTCTTAAAGATACTTTTCATTCTGCAAAAACATCTGTCACAGTCATTCTGACATAAATATGCTGTTGTTTAAAACTTGTATTTTCACAAACCCAAAAATTCTGGTGAGTTCCAGGGAGCCAAATTAAAGGATCCACCTTAAACAGGTCAGATACACCCCTCTCAGTTCCCTGGTCCTAAAAATTTTTTACCTAAACTTAACTTTGTCCTCTGTTCTGCCAATACCTTAGACAGGTGTTAGAGACAACAGTCATTTCTATACCACAAACACCAGACAGGAGCAAAGAGACCAGTTACCCCAGGATGTGACCAGCACCCAGCTTTCTCAAGTCCCCCCCCCCCCGCCGCAAGATGACGCCCACAAATAATCAGGAAGCAGTCTTCAGAATCTACCATCCCAATTCCTTTAATCTGTTGTGCCTAACTTCCCGCATTTTTATTATAAGAAAGAGATTGGAATGTTATTATCTGCTGGCCTGGTCTGTCACCTGGGTACCCTGTCCCTTTAAGAAACAAACCCCACTCCTTCTGCCAAAGGAGTCCAGTCTTCTCTCTCTCTCTCTCTCTCTCTCTCTCTCTCTCTCTCTCTCTCTCTTTCTCTCTAAGAGGTAACTTCTGTTCTAGCTCTCTCTCCCCTCCATATCTCTCTCTCCTCCCCCTTCTCTCTTCTTATCTCTCTCTCTGCCTCTCTCTCTTCTTTTCCCTTCTCCCCTTCTCCCCTTCCCCCCTTTCTCTTCCATAACCCACTAAATAAACTCTATATCCGAACTCTCTCTACATGATGTATCTGTCTGTCTCTTACCCACCAAGATGATCTGACAAAAGCCTCAGGGGACTCACCAAGGCCTAGGGAACCCCCCGAGACCTTGGGTCATCCACTGCCACCCCTCGTGGGACTGGCCTTCCCCCCTTATATCTTTAAAAAAGAATAACATACACAACTACTATTACTAATATTAATAAGTAGTACAGATGAAAATGACTGGAACAAAGGCTGAAGAGATAATAGTCCAGAAGGAAAAAGTTCTAGCTGCTAAGGCTAACAGACCTGAGTCCAGTTCCCAACATCCAAGCAAAAGTGGAAAGGAAAGGACCAACTCCTTAGGGTTGTCCTCTGACCTCCACACATGCACCATGGCATGCATGTGCCCACACTCACATGCATACATCACTCACACACACACACAAACACACACATGTGCACACACACTATCTAAATTAGAATAGAATGAAACATAATAGAAAAACATAGAATAGAATAGGATAGGATAGGATAATACAATAATACATTGTGTGCCAGGCCCTCATCTAGGTGCTTCATACTTCACAAAATCTGTGATACAGGCATGAATATTGTCTCTCTTTACAGACAAAAGAATCTGGAGCAGAGAGATTAAGTAATTTGCCCCAAATTGCACACACAGCTATTAAATGTTAGAGTCAGGATTTGACCTTAGACAAACTAGACCAGAGACAGTTTTCTACTGTACTTTATTAATATGTTCAGAATAATGATATGTATTTGTTGAATGCCTAATCATTCGTTCATTAGTCATAATGGATGACTAACCATCCCATTAATTTGGTATGGGAAAGGTTTTTATGTCCCAATAAGCTTCTCTGCCAATGCAATAATCCAAATCAGTCCAAATCAAACTGAATTTTAAAAAGCCCAGGATTAATGGATGCCAGTGCTCCCGGTTGACTTTCCAGACCTCCCCGGGAAGGCTGGGAAAACCACCGAGAGGGGGAAGGAAGACCAAGAAGACCATGTGTTCATTCTCTGGGGGCAGTTTAAATACCCTGTGGAAGTGGTCTTGGCCCTCTCTGGGGAGAGGTCACCCTTTGGCAGGCTTTTCTGGAGGTGGAGTCTGAACTGAGGCAACTCTCAGAGGAGGGGGGCCTGGAATGGAAAGTTTCACCCCAACATTCTAAACTTCCAGGGACACATGGATGTCAGGGGCTGGGGTGAAGCCTCCAAACAAACAGTATGTACCTAGATCCATTCCTGGGAGTATCTAGTCAAAGACACATCCAAATCATTTCTAGAAAATACCCCAGACCATCCGGGTGGTGATGGCATGTGCCTTTAATCCCAGCACTTGGGAGGCAGGGCCAGGCTGATCTCTGTGAATTTGAGGCCAGCCTGGTGTACAAGAGGTAGTTCCAGGACAGGCTTCAAAGCCAAAGAGAAACCCTGTCTTGAAGAAAAAAAAATGCCCCAAAGCATGAAGATCGTATATTTTCTATTGAGCGACTTTGGATACTATGATATCCTTAATTTCCTGTGCCTTCTGACTTTCTGCCAGGAAGAGGTGTAGATCATTCTTGTGTTTGTTATCAACGGCTGTGTAGCAATGTATTCCAATGCACTTAAGTATCGCAAATGTTGGGATTTTATGTGAAGTAAGGGTAGCTTGTTCTCGCCCCTCTCCTGGAGGATATCCTTGCTGAGTATCGGGTAGTGTGGAGCCTACAGTTATTAGGAAGTCTGTTCACATTCCTTCCTGGCAGTTGATGTTAGTAATAACCCAACCACTGTCAGTGTGGGCTTCCTTCTGACTGGAAAGTGGGTAGCTGGTCCATGGGCAAGTGACCTGGAGAGAAAGAATCGAAGACCAAGTCAAACAATCAAATCAAACCAAAATAAAATCAAAACCATCTTGCCTTTATGACCTGCAAAATCACATCATTCACACCCCTCCTGCTTCCTGCTGGGGTCCAGCTGGGTTCAAGGGCATAGATTCTGCCTCTCAGCCAAGGATGCGGCAGGTCCTATTACACGGAAAGTCATAGAGTTAAATGCAGCCACGTAATAAATTCTCTTTCAAGACTGAAAGGCGTAACATTTTGGTTATTAAAACGAGTTCCCAACTCTTTAGTTCAAACCAGCATCTAATTCTCTGTACCTCAGGCTGGCCTGGAACTTGAAATCCTCCTGCCTCCACCCCTCAAGTGTTTGTCCTACAACCATGTCCTTCACTGGGCTTCAGAGTTGTTTGAGGTTTTTGTTTCGTTTTGTTTTAAACTAATCGGGTCTATTTAGTATTGTGAGACCGGACTTAAACACAATGCCTGGTACTAAAGTCTCTGCTTCCGCAATGGCATAACTATTATCATGGTTTTCTTTTAACTCTTCAATTCTTATCAAACCCCTCCCCCAACACTGTAAGACAGGCACTGTTGGAAACTTCTAGAATGTTCTCTCCGGCAACTGGAGCCAGGTTCTTCCCTATCATGGCTTTGTGAAGCCACTAATCACCTACAGGTCAGTCCAGCTGGGATAGATTCATCAGCCCCAGCTTCACCTACAGTTTTATTCATGGCCATAAACAGATTAACGTGAGGTCAGGGCTGCCGCGGTCCAGCAAATGGAAAGGAAGAACCACTGTTAGGCTTCTTTATACTCCTGGAATGGAGCACAAGTAATTCGTGTCTTTAAGAAATAAAGCCAACACCCTGTTCAACAGTTCAAAAGCCTGTGAGGGCCCACAGTTTTGGATCCATTTAATCTCAACTAAAGGTCAGAGAGTTCAAACTTATTCTTGCTCCTCAAGGGTGAACAACAGGACATTTGACCAAAGGTGCAGCTACTGGGCGTTTTTCCCCTCAAAAGCCAGATAACAGGATGTTTGACTCGGGCATGGTTACCAGGTGGTTTGAGATATAAGGAGGTAATTAAGCTTGCTTGTTCTTTGTGTCGGGAAGTCTATGCCCTCCCCTTTTGATTGGGCTATGTTAGGGGACTGTGAGTAATAAACTCTAGGCTTTTTTTTTAAAAAACAATATTCACTGGAAGCCCTCCCAACTCTATCTTCTGTTTCTTGTCTATTTCTTTCCTCAGTTCACACTCCCCTTTTCAGGAATGTAAGGACCTGTGGAGCCAGACCCAACAAAAGATTCACTCTTTGTCCTGATGGAAAAACAGTATCTACTTCCCAGAAGCAAGCAGGGAAACAGTAACAAAGGGCCAATGCCTCTTATAGAAAAGGTCGTGGCATCCCTGCCTTGAAGGAGAACTGCAGGCGTGTGGAAAGCACAAATACCGTTCTCCTTAGGTGTAACCTAAGAAGGCGCTAAGGATGCTGAGTTGAGGCACATCTGTCTCCTGTGAGTACACACCTAAGCCTCTTGGCAATGTGCGTCTTGCTGGAGGCTGTCTATAGAGCGTGGCTCTGATGGTACTGTATGTGGGCATCCTTGCCTCTCTGTTGCCGAAGACTCTCCCATTTCCTGTGACAGTGTGGTGTCTATTGTCACTGAATAAATAGCTCTGTGGTTTGGCCGGAAGTTTCCTAAGGAGTGAGTTATTTAAGGCCTCTAATTTAATCATCTCCAGATGATCTCCCTGCCTCGATTTAATAAAGAAAATTAAAATGGCTTGATTTTTGTGAGTCTCCTCAGCCACCATCTGCTTGACAATGTGGATGCAATCTGCCTCTGCAAAGGATGGGAGCAGATCCTGTCTATAGAGGAGTTTCACTTTTTCTATAAAGCATGTGCATAAAATTTTTAAATCCCCAAAGGGTATGGGGAATCTGCCAGAAGTTTTAGTTGAGATTTCACTTCCTACAAGAGCAAGTCATGTAAAATGATCTCTCCAGACATAAACCACAGCTTCCTGGTAATTGTCTTATTTTTAAACAAACACAGAATTTTAAAATCGTATTGTTTTCCAGACCCCCTCTCTGCCATCAGTCTGAGCAGGCTAAACTCACGTCACCTGTTCCTGTTGCTTTTCAGTCTTGTGTGTCTGGACAATGGCTCTAGTCATCTTTGCCTCATACAGATTATTCTGGAAGAACAGATATGTTTTTTGCATTAGTATGAATGTTTTTGGAAGAAAGGGAACTAAGATTTTTAAGCTACTTGGAAGATTGACAATTGCTTCTTTTCCTTAATTAAGGAAACAATGTTTTTTTAAACATTATCATTAAGACAGAATTAACACGCAATTAATTTAACGCATGAACTCAATTTTTTAGTACTTTCAAAAAGTTGAACACCCAGGGGCTGGAGAGATGGCTCAGAGGTTAAGAGCATTGCCTGCTCTTCCAAAGGTCCTGAGTTCAATTCCCAGCAACCACATGGTGGCTCACAACCATCTGTAATGGGGTCTGGGGCCCTCTTCTGGCCTGCAGCCATACACACAGACAGAAGATTGTATACATAACAAATAAATAAATAAATATTTTTAAAAAAAAGTTGAACACCCATTATGCCAAGATTTAGAAGACTTAAAAAGCTAAACCACCAGCTTTCCGTATCAGTGACTCTTAATTTCTCCCACTAGCACCCCAGTTTCCCTTGTCTGATCTTTTCTGGTTGCTAGAAAGGTGCTTAGGTGGCATGTGGTTGTTTTTAAGATTATGTAAGAGGAAGCATTAATAGCTGCTTATAATTCATTTCTTTGCATTGCCAAATAAAATAATACTCCATTATTCCAGTATAACACATTCATTTATCCATTCATCAGGTGGGAAGCACTCGGGTTGTTTCAGCTCTTTGGTTATCATGAATAATGGTGCCCCAAATAGTCATAGACAAGTTTGTGGGGAGACACACGTTTTAACTGTGAACATTCTGCGGTGTACATTTTCTCTTGGTTATACGCCTATGAATGGAGCTGATGGGTCATAGATAGTTCAATATTTAAGTTTTAAGAATCACCAAACTGTTTTCTATAGTCGTGGTACCACCTTAGTCTTTCACAAGCAGTGTGCGTGGTTCTAGATCTTGTCATTTGTTCACCCATCGTTTCATTCCCTTGAGTTTCGGGTTTAATGTCTGCACTCGTTCTTTGCGTCCACGGCCATCCCGATGGATATTGAATACTGTCCGTTTATTTTCATTTCTGTTGTTGTTTTTTAAGTAGCTCTGGCTGTCCTGGAACTCTCTGTATAGACCAGGCTGGTCTCAAACTCACAGAGATCCACCTTCTGCTGCCTCCAGAGTTCTGGAATGAAAGGTGTGTATCACCACACCAGACCCTCACTGTGGTTTTGATTTACATTTTCTAATGAAAATGAAACATTTAGCATGTGTTCATGGGCTTATGGGCCCATTTTATATCTAATACAGGAGGGAAGATTCAAATACTTTGCCCATTTAAAGTTGATTATTGAATTATAAGAGGTATCTACATATTTTGAAAATATCAGGTATATTTGGAGTATCAGATATATGACTTGTCAGTGTTTCATTATTCAGTAACCTATCATTTCACTGTGTTGCTAACATCTTTCTTTGAACATATTTAAACATTTTTATGAGGTTCAATTTATTTGCTTTTCATTTGCTGCCCACACTTGGTGCCATATTTAAAATTTCATCATCCAACAGGAGCTCATACAAACTACGTCTGCTTTTTCTCTCTTTGTTTTATAAATAAGGAACTTAGGGCATGCGTTCATGTCCATCATCTTTGATGTAACTACATGGCAGATCTCAAGCATGGTGATAGTTCCTCTAGCTCCTACACTGATATTTTCAGCCCACTTGTGCAGGGGCACTGTAGACCCTCCACTGTGTTGTTTGGTATCAGAACACCCAGGTGTCCCAGCCCCACTGATAGCAAGTTTCTTTCCCCATTACTGTGACTGAGACAAGAAACAGGTACGGCCTCTGAATGCAGCTTTCTTCCTGCAGAGGATCTCAGTGGCACTGCAGCCATGTTTAAATGCGTCGTGAAAATGACAGACCTCGGTGTCCATCTGAACGTGGTTCTTCAGGTGCACAAAATACAACAGTTATGGGATCACAATGACATCCACCAAGATTTCAAAGAAAAGTCTGGGAAGCTTGGCAAAAGCCTTCCGCAGGGTTCGAAGCTCTCTGGAGAATGCCCTGTGGGGGCAGTGCCTAGCGGACCCTTAGTGGGGACTTTGGGAAGGTGAAGAAAACAACAGATTGTCATGCTGATCTTGGGAAGATACACAGATCGGTGTGCATTCCCCAAAAATAACCAGGAGGCTGCAACCAGCAAAACCACAGGCAGGACACACATAGGCCTGAGGTACCCATCTCCCACCTCAGTATGCATGGGATGCTAGACTTGGACTTGAGGTTTATGGTCATGTCTTTTTTTTTTTCAAATACCTTACTCCTTCCTATTTGTATTTCCCTCCCTATTGGAATAGGTCTCTTGTTGTGTGATAGGTGTGCAGCCTCTCTGGAAACTCCCAACAAGAAGATCATTACAAAACAGAGCCCTCAAACATGGAACTTTGGAACTGTCAACCAAAGTAAATCTTTTTGCTAAAATATACTTCACCTGTGGTATTGTTACATATAGTGCACTGATAGGGCTTGGTGCGGGAGAATTGTCTGTATTCTGTCAATCATGTTTTAAATAAACGCTGATTGGCCAGGCAGGAGGTGTAGGTGGGAAACCCAGACAGGAAGTGAAAATGATGCAAGGAGAGCAGGGGAAATTCTAGGGAGGAGGAAGCTGATTCTTCCCTCTCCTGCCCAGATCACCAAAGCAGCATGATGTGAGCTGCCCCACTGAAAAAGGTACTGAGCCACATGGCTAACATAGATCAGAAAAATGGGTTAATCAAGACATGAGAGTTAGCCAGTAAGATGCCTGACCTAATGGGCCAATCAGCTTTATAACTTACGGAGTCCTGTGTGTCATTTTCTTTGGGGCTAAGCAGCTGGGGGGCTGGGCAGGACAGAAATCCGAACAAGCAGGCCTGGCCTTTTCATGTTACAAGGGCTACTGGCAGCCTTGTTGATAAGTCTCCTGATGTACGCATGGAGGCTCATCCCCGGCTCCCCAGGTCTGTTCTGCTGCTGTTAGTGAACATCGCTCAGTTAATGCCACCGTTTTGAATAGCGTGGATCCGGAGCAAGTTTTAAAGTCAAGGAAGACATGCCCACCGGCTTTAATCTTTTCTGAGGTCATTTTTACTTATTCGGGTCCCTTCTATTCCTATATGCATTTTAGGGTCAGCCTATAAAATTATGCTGAGATTTTGCCTTTAATGTGCAAATCGACATGGGGAGTGTTGCCATTCTAATGGCACTGCCCTTCAGACCACGGTTTGGTCCCTCCTGATGGATTAATGCAGGTCAGCATCAATTTCTTTGAACATTTTCTGTTTTCTTGTGTAGGAGTTATGCGTTTTTGTCATTGTTGAATTTGTGCCTATTTTTATGTTGGTGCTATTGCCATTGACATTGTTTTTTATGAATTTTTAGTGCATGGAAATGAAGTTGACTATTGTTTATTCATCATATGTCCCATAACCCCGAAAACCGAGCTCACTAGTTCTAATGGTAGATTCCTCCAGAGTCTCTATATTCAATATCATGCCATCAGTAAAATCTCTAGTACATACGTTGTATTCTATGAATAGTGTGTACCATATTCTTTCACCTTCTCCCTAAGATGATACTCTGTATCCCGGGCTAGCACAACACTTCCTGGGTGGCTCAGGCTGACCTGAGACTTACAGTGACCCTTCTCCCTCAGCCTTGGGGGTGTTAGGATTGCAGGCATAAGCTATCATGCCCACATGACATTGACTTCTGGCTATGAACTTTAATATGTTGCTGTATTCTGTTTGCTGGCATTTTGTTGAAATTTTCTACAGATGTTCATAAAGAATATTAATATTTAGGCTTCTTAAGGACCACTGTCTCATTTTGATATCAGAGTACTGGCGGCTTCAGAGAATGCTCTGCAATGGGTTACTCTTCTATTTCTGGAAGAATTTGTCACGAATTGCTTGTATTTCTTCTGTAAATGTTTGGGAGAATTGGTCTGTGAGGACAACTGAATGCAGGTTTTCTTTCCTGGAATGTTTCTAAATGACTAACTTGACCTCTCTGCTTCACGCGGGTCCACTCAGAGTTCCTACTTCTGTAATCAGTTTCAGGATCGGATGTCTTTCTGGGGAGTTTGATTTGCTTCTGGTGCATCAAGGCTCCCCTCACACTTTTCTGTATCTCTGTAAGGTCTGTAGCAATAGCTCATCTTCCATTCACGTGGAGGCTACCATACACATATACATTCAGCTGAGTTCGACCCATTTCGGTCTCAGCTCCATGTTTACAACAGAACTTCCCTACAGACACACCAGGAAATACAGATCCACCCATACACAACACAGACAGACAATTACAACAACAAAACAAGACATTTTCCACACGAAACAGACAAAATTTTCCCACCAACCAGAACCAGGTGGGAAGCTGACAAATCACTTTTTGCCCTGGATAGGAAAATCCTGGGGTCCCATTGAACTCCCTCCACATCCAAGATTAGGATCCCACAGAATAGA